ATATTGTGATATAACAAATATATGCCAGGAAGTGATCGAAGTGGTCAACTCGCTTCATGCTATGTTCCTTTGCGAAAGACACTCAATTGGTACAGGAAAGTTATTTTTCATACACTGGATCTTGCTGTCACAAACGGATGTATCCTGAACCAAAAACTCGGCGATAATCGGTCGCAGAAATGGTTTCAGTAGATGGAAACTATGCAGAGAGAAAGGAAAAGAAGAAGAGAACATAGTCGTATGAGCTGCCAGGAATGGCAGATCATAACAATGCAAAGATGGGACTTAGAAGGAAATATGAGCCGACCTATTTTCAAAGTTAGAGTACTTGACGAGATGCTTTGCCTCTTGACGGAAAGTGGAGTTAATCGAAGTATTTTAAAAAGTTAAGATTTCTAGAAAACCGTTTAAAGATTTTTGGAGAGGGGAGGGTGAATGAAAAAACGTTTTCCAGAAGATAACAAACAATGATCAGACAACAAACAATTATGTGAAGTTCAGGTCGTATTTAGGACTGTCGCGCGATATAATTATAGGTAAATGTTGTCAATGTATTTAAAAACAGAACATGCAGAAATAACTATCAAGAATAAAAACAAAACCACATCTTTCTTTTGGGATGACGCCAATGGAAAAGAATGTAATCGCGTTCCATCTGCACATATAGTTTTCTTAATTTCAGTGTAAATCATTCATAATTTCTCTTTACAGTTGGAAAATACCGGTAGTTACTTGAATATCTTTACAGTTATGATATATTCGCTCAGTCTGATGAAACGAACGAAGCATGGGAGAAACCCGTGTTATTGCGTATACCTCTGAATAAATACAGTGACTCATTGATATTTCCAATTTTCAAATAACGCGTTTATATATATACTTTATTAATCAGAATTCATCAGATCGAAATCTAACAGGACGCTCAGCAAAATGCTCTCTTCCTCTCTTGAACCTTTATATTCACCATCAGGAACAACTGTGTCATACATGTTGTATGTAGACTTGATCTATGTTTATTTTTTAGAATATTGAAAATAGGTAAAAGCAGCGAAACAGTCAGTAGTTTTACAAACACTGATAAAGTTCATAGGTGATAACTTATCAGATACGGTCATGGTTACACGGGCCAGTTTAAAAAATGATTGTATTTCGAAAATGATCAACGATTCAGACAATATTCATACGAATAATGAACTCGATCGTAGTGGTCAGACCGATGGCACAGTTAATTCATTATCAGTGGCTGTCACCGAACGGAGCGTAAATACACCCGATGACAAAGCACTTGGTTCTATTGGAGAACAAATTGCTTTACCCGATGCTATACTGGTTACCATCAGTCCAACAACTCTAGCACCTCAACAGGACAATGCACTTACACTGAGTCCAACCGCTGTTGTCACTAGTGTGACAACTAGGTCACTAGCTTCTGTCGGCGGCATTACGGCAGTGGCCTTAAGTAAAATTTTTCGCCTGAAAGAAGCAATCGACACTTTGGGCTCATTGCGACTTGGTGGCAATGTACCGCCGGAAAACTTTGAACGCATGTTTCGTGATATCGAACGGGGTCGTTTGAACACGAACGAATTGCTCTTGACCGCTGGTATCGGCCTCGATGAACATGGCAGTATTCCCGTACGGCTTCCGGCATTTTTGTTGCCTGCATTATATATCCTTGAGCGTTTAGCCGATGCAAAACTGAGTTTGCCTAAATTCATTGTGTATCAAGCGACAGATTTTATATGCATCAATAACCGACTCAATCTACAAACTGGAGCGCAAGCTGCTAGAAATATGGAATGTTATTTGAGCAGGTACGTTGAAATGTTCCATCCAAGGATAAAATCGCAGCTTATCTACAGATTCGGTTTGCCTTATCATGAGTGCGAACAAGAAAACGTTGCCACCCTAAAAGAGCGCATTGAACAAAACGTTCGATCAAGGCAAAAAATTTCTGCTACAACGATCAGCGCTCTGGAGGTTTCAGAAAAGCGTCATTCCAACGATTCAGGCAAGTCACTGGTTTACGCAGCAGCCAATGCACTGTACAGTGGCGCAGATGCAAGCCTCTATCCCTTCAAAGAATATCTTGACGGTGTCAGCGTTATTTTACCTTTGGGCGGCAATGCTGAAAAGACGTTTTTTGAAGTTACGTGCGCCATTGCCGACGGTCAAATGAAAATTTTTCCTTTGCTAACCACGTTAGGTTCACGCCCAACCTACTATGCCTATAGTGGTTTGGCTGATCCTCAAACAACCGCGAGTATCGCATCATTTATGGGTCAGACCAAGCCAAACGTACATATTAAAGCCGATCTCGAAGCGCTTTTTGCCGATGGTGCAAGCATTGAGAAACTTGCAGCGATCAAAGAGGCGGCTGAGGCACCTTCGATAGATATCTGTAAAGATTTTATTAACAAAAAGATTTAACAGAATATAATAGTTTTTTACATAACTGTTGAGTCTTTTTTTTGGTTTGGGTCAATATTATTTCTTGTTTTTGTGTGTTTTATTATATATATTACGGACCTGTGTTTTCTTGTTTTGTCGATTTTTTAACCTTCTTCCTCTATTTATTGTATTTAAAAATCACAATTGATGACGATATTTATGTACAATTAGCCGATTTGCTTTTGACTGTTCTAATGATTGATTTGAATTCAGAGATATGAATTTGAGAACATATTGTATCGACTATTTTTAAAGTATTTGATTCTAAGTTTAATTCCTCTAAATGAAGAAAGTAGAAATTGTTCGAAAGAAAATTAGCAATGTTCCAAAGATCTTTCAGTTGTTGTTCACCTGGATCTGTTAAGCTTCAGTAAAATACTTGTCTTAGGTGGAAACGTTTCAAGGATTTTAACGATTTAAGTGAACGCATTGAAGTTGGTTAAGGTTGGTCATAGTCTAAATTAAGTGCTTCTAATGATTGCATCCAATCAAAATAATGATCATCAATTATTTGTAGTTTGTTTGACGAATAATAGAGAAGAACGAGATTTTGCGACGTATTGAAATTGAATGGAATATGGAGAATTTGAATATTATTGTTAGTAAAATACAGATCGGTAAATTGTTTACACACATATAACAAGAGAGAACTTAGGAAAAGAATAAAAATTTTCTATGTTGAAAATCAAATCTACTATTTCATACATTTATACACCTATTATGGTTACGTGAGTGAGAAGAGAAGCAATTAGTTAAGGAGGACACCTTCCCAGTTGCCAAACTCCGGTTTCAATGGCCTGATGCCAGTTGATGGATGAAAGTGTTCCAGTTAAAATACTAAAATGATTTGTGTTCATGGTTATAAAGCTTTCAAGAGTTATAAATCTTTTTGGTTTCGCTTGCAAAACAGGTACAAAAAAGATCGGCTAACAGTCTTACCAAACCATTATAACGATGAGATAACTAAAATATTTTCTTTTGTTGGGCAACGATTTTTGACACAAACGTAAGACCGTCAATGCATCTCTATAGAATTTCATAGTCATAAATTCTTATCACTTTAATATAGTAATAAATTCTTATCACTTTAATATATTGATATTTCTATCTTTACAGTCATTTTCAAACAAGACGTAAAAGAAGTACACAGAAATGAAGTAACACACACTAAGAACACGACAATTTTCTTTCCGTTATAAAGGAAGCAGAATTTTTAAAACCGTAACTCTAAACGGCAAGGACACTTGAAGAAACTTATAAAAGAATTTTACTACGAATAGTAAAGAGGCAGAAAACTACAATCCTTTACAAGATTACTGTCTCGCAGGTTTGAATCTGAAAAAGGATTGTAGTTTTCTGCCTTTTTACTATTCGTAGTAAAATTCTTTTATAAGTTTCTTCAAGTGTCCTTGCCGAAGAATTTATTACTATGAAATTCTATACAGATGCATTGACGGTCTTACGTTTGTGTCAAAAATCGTTGCCCAACAAAAGAAA